TGCAAATTTCATATGAGGATAAAAAATATCATTCATAATATTTTGATATTCAGAAGGGGCATTTTTTGTAACACCCCAGTTTTTATTTCACTTTTTATTTATTTTAATTGAGGGTATTTTGGTAATTTTATAAAGGTATAGGAGTGATTTAGTAGCTTGGAACGGGCTGTTCCAGAATTGGAACGGGCCATTCCAAACTACCAAAAGGTATGTGATTTAGTAGCTTGGAACGGGCTGTTCTGGAATTCGAACGGGCCGTTTCAAACTACCAAAATAAATGTGAGTTAATAGCCCAGAACGGGCCGTTCTCAAGTTGGAACGGACCATTCCAGACTATTAAATATGCCATTAACCCTAAATGGGAACGGGCTTGGAACAGGTCGTTCCAAAAAATATGGCCATTGTGAGTAATTAATGCACACCAGAACGGGCCGTTTTGGTTTGAGAACGGGCCGTTCTGGATGTGATTTTTACCCATGATTTACGGGTCCAGAACGGGCCATTCCAGATTTGGAACGGGTTGTTCCGGCGTAGAATGCCTATAAATTGAGCTCTCTGCCACTCCTAAAAAGCACACCTCTCATTTTCTGATTTCTTTTCTTCTACTCTCTCTTCTTTTCCCTTTACTTTATGCTTTAGACCGAGGGGAACCTAGCGAGGGAGACCAACCAGATCTCATATAAATACAGCTTCTACATATCCAGGTACGGGGAAAAAGGGAATTATTTATATGTAGAGTTGAGAGAATTGGGTAGAGGAAGAACCCTTAGGTTTATGAGAAATTTTATAATTATTTCTGTTTGGAGAATTATTGGTATTATTTGATTCTGTATATATTTAGGACTACAAATATATGATTTGTTTGTAAAAATGATGCTCTGGTAGAGAGAAAGAAATTATAGAAAAGTGCCTGTAAGTTAGGTTTTGGAAAAATTGGATTATTTTTGTTTGAGGAATTAATTATACCATTAGATTCCATATGTGTTGAGGATTAGAAATATATATTTAATTTGTAAGAATGATGATCTGGGAGAGAGAACGAAATTGTAGAAAAGTGCCTGTGAGCTAAGTTTTGGTACAATTGGGGGTTTTACTGTTTATGTTAAAATTATATTAAATTGATAATTCTATTAATTATTATATTAATTTATTAATATCATTGTTATATTATTTGATAAAAATTGATGATTTAGATGTGAATTGCTTGATATGTATGAAACCCATTATTTTGGACCTATTTGATGTGTATATGGAATTGAGTTATGAGATGAGATGTTGTATGGATGTGAATATGATTATGATTGTGGTTCCTCACACTAATGACTAGGGATGGCACGACCCCTGGGTAAGTGATGCTACAGGGAGGGCGTGACCCTGACATGGTGTGGGATGAGTAATACAGTTAACACGTATCACTTATGTTAAATATGGCAGTCCTGGCATAGGGTTAATTGTAAGAGATTGTGTGGATTGTTATGTGATTGTGGTTCCTCACATTAATAACTAGGTATACAGGTGATCATCAGCGTGAGGCTGAGGATGTTGGTGATGAAGCTTAGGCTTCTATGTTGGGTTTTGCTCTGATAGGACATGTGACATCGGGACATAGATAGGATTGTTTAAAATGTTCTTATTAAATTATTTTGGAAAATTCAGTTTTATTTCTTTGTAATTTTACGGGCATGTTATTTGGATTAAGTTTACGAATGTGAACTCTTTACCCTTACGTGGTTGGAAATTTGATTTTTATTGATGCAAAATTCTATTTTTTTATAATTACTGTATATGTATGTTGGGGTAGAGGGTGTCACAATTAGAGGATGAGGAGAAAAAGAGTGATTTTTGTTTGAGCTTTTTCAATTTGAATTTAGAAAAGGGAGCGAAGTATAGAATTTGATTAAAAGATAATATCAATTCATGAAAAGTCACATGTTTGGGGAGATATATCTTTTGGGTTGGGGGATGATAACATTAACAAACATGGTGCTAAGGGGAATCACCAAAAGAGACACAAGGCAAGCTTCAATTTGATAACTTATTTTCATAATATAGGCAGAGCCAAGGGTAGTACAAGCATCCAAAAACATGTAGGTTAAGATAATTAGGACTGGATCTAAACAGAATTTCATGAGGACACTTGTTATTTAGTTGAGAAATTGGCATGAGATTGATTAAATAAACTGCCATTTGAAATGCAAAACACTATAATTTTTTTGGAACCCAAGAGTGGGACAAGAGAGTGAGTTGTTTCCACTTTATGACAATGTTTACATTCTACAATGCCAATATGCTTAGGAGTGTAAGGTGGACTAACATTGTGAGATATTCCATAAAAATTGAAGTAAGATTAAAGCTTTATGTACTTAATGTCACCATTGGTGTTAAGGGGTTTAACTTTATGGGAAAAACATTATTTTAATCTTTTTATGAAATTGTGGAAAAATAATGAGAACATCAATTTTACTTTTTAACAGGAGTGAAGGTGGTCACGTCGAGCATGAAGTTATGCCAAAGAGATGCCAGACATCTTGGTGCTAGTGCGAGATGCTACACTTGGTACGATTTAATGTTGAATTTACGAAGAGGTCAACGTTAGACGTGGCCTAAATCACGCTAGGTAAGACTAAGACAAAGAGGTACCATACCTCATCACATCAGGCGCGAGTGATCCCACACCAGGCATGAGTTTAACAAAAAGGCCCTAGTCTCTCTGCATCGAATGTGATTTATTTTTCACTAGGCGTCATACCTTTTCCTTTTACATCTTTTTATTTAATGAATTTCTTGTTGAATAAGTAACTATGAGAAAGGATTGATACTGTTACTAATAGATGAAATTAATGAATATTGATGTGTAAATTGACATTATACCATGGTGTTGTTTGAATAATCATATTTAGATACTCTTGAATGACTATGATGAATTTTATGATGGGATGACTTGTGAGAATTTGATGATGAGATATGACAAATAAGTCTAGTACTATGGATTGGCAATTAAGAAGTTAAGAATGTATATTATCATTTGTTTTGAGTTCATGCATTTCATGCTTTGTTTTGCAGGATAATGTAAGTCTGTGCAAGTGGGATATCATAGGTCATCTACTTGTGTTTTGAGAGGTGTTATGGTGGGGAAACCTCTAATAGGAATAGGAGCCTACCATGGCCAACTATAAAACTTTGATAAGACCTTGATAGACATTCCTTAGTTGAGGTGGATCGAAGGGATCACTATTGATGGGTGATCTCTATACTATTTGATGAGGTGGTCCTGCTCCATTACTCATAGGCTATTTTGTACACTCAATGATAAAAAGAAAATTGGTACCACATGCATGTACAGATTAGGGGCATGCATCTCATGAATCTCAATTTATGCTTATGTTGTATTGTAAGTGATTGGATGGAATGAGATATACTATAATTGTTATTACTATTGAATGAGAGAATTGATGATGACGTATAAGATGTGATTGTTGTCAATATGTGTGTATGTGTGTCTTTATTATGGCTTGTATATGTTGTTATGGGTGAGATATATTTTCACTCTTTATATTTGCATGTTTGGATTTTCGCTAAATACCATTTGTAGGAATTGAGCAGTTACAAGATGATGGGTTTAAGAAGGGAGAACCATAAAAAGGAGTCTTGTTCTAATAGTGTGACGTTAGGCTAAGTTTTAGGATTAATAATTATTCTAAGTTTAATTTCTATTTAATTTTGTTTTATGATTTTAAGAGGTCGTTCTTAGTTTTGATTAAAACAATGTATTATATTTTTTTTCTATGATTTGAATAATGGATACAAATGTGAACTATTTTACAAGTTTCATGAGAAAAATTATTATAATTTATTTTTTTTAGAGAAATTTTATTATAATTTATCTATTAAATTTTTTGGGATAAAAGGGTAGGTCTCTAGAATGTGAAAAAAGTTCTTAACTTAACTGCTTACTATCATTTATGTCTTTGAATGTATATCAATAATATTATTTTAGTGACACATTTTTTTTTTAATTTTGAACTAACATGGTTGTGAATATTTGTACTTTCATATATGTATTAAAAAATTTCTTAATATGAGGCACTAATATGATAACACCTTCTGAAATTTGATGACTAATTTGGGTATTTACTCGATATGAAATATTGGTATTTTTATGGTCAATCGACTTAGTAAAAGATATTGTACTAAAAAACCTTGGTAAAAAATAAAATAATAATAATAATAATAATAATAATATAAATCTATTAATAAAGCATTAAAAAAAACTAATATTATTATAGTGAATTATGTAGAGGAGAAGGAGAAGAAGAAGAAGAAGAAATAGAGGAAAGAGATGAATGAGAGAGAAAAGCAAGAAAGGCGAGAAAAAAGAAATAAAAGAAAAAAGAAATCATGCAAAATCTGCTTAAAAATATTGGTGAAATTGTTTGATAAATAAATTACATGTAAATTATACTAAAAAATCTTACAAAATTCATTAAAATTTTTATATTTATGAATACCAACAATATTACATATTATAAATATGAATGAAAGTAATAAATAATGATTTTTTTATACATATATATACTTTTATTAAATCAATCTCAATAAAGATAGATTATTTTTAATTCGTACAAGCACTATAATTAAAAAATATAATATTACATATTTTTAATCAATTTCTAAATAATAAAATTTTAAAATAAAAAAAATTGAACTCAATTGAACCAAAATCAAAAGTTAAGTTAAAATTTCATAATTTATTCAAATCAAACCAAAATAATTTATAATTAATTTTTTTTAATTTATATCTTTTAAGTAAAATAAATAAATCAAACCATACCGTAAATACCTCTATAAAAAAAATTAAGGTGATAACATTTAGTAAGTATTTAAACTAATTTCAACCCAAATTGAAAATCGGGACAACTACATGACAAAATTATATGATTAACTAAATTCAAAATGCATGAGTATTAAAGTCTCCAGAAAAATTAATAATAAAAAATATCACAACCTGCAATAACGGTTCATCTTGCGCTTATTTTTTTTCTCGTGAACGATAAGCATTCTCTTTCTCTCTCGGAGAAACTCTCAAAGCCACCACCGTCATCGTCACCGTCACCGTCACCGTGGCCGCCATGGAAGGAGGTGGAGGAACGCTCTCGGAGATTCACCAATCCGCGAAGAAACTCCTGCTCAGGTCTCGCGACGGCCTCGAACGTCTCGAGCGCCTCGAGTACTCCGCGACCGCCGCTGCCGCCGTTGCCGGCGCCGACTCGGAGCTTTCGTTCTCCGTGAAGAAGGACATCACTCAGATCCAATCCCTCTGCGTCGAGATGGACCGTCTCTGGCGATCCGTCGCCGCCAAGCCTCAACGCGATCTCTGGAAAAGGTAAACCTAACTATACGATTCGACTCGGATCCCGATCTCGTTGAATCGGTTGTTTCTATTAGGATTGTAGCTATCTGTTTCTGATGAAATTGCTTCGATTATTTCGTGCGTGTTGATTCGCGATGTGGTTTGTGGAGTCCGGAATTGCGGTTTTCGAATTGTGGAATGATACGTTTGGTTTTCAATGCATAACATGGATTAGTGTTGACAATTTTATTTTAGAAATGAACCGAAGGAGTAATTCAAATTCAAGGGGGAATGATGTAGTAATGTTACTTATTGGTATTGTTTAGAAGATGGGATGGAAACGTGTGAGGGATTATGGATTGTTGATGAAAGATGATTCGAAATGTAGGGGTATGTTGGAAACATGTTGTGTGTTTTGAGGCAAATTCAGTGCTTGATGTGGTTGATTAATTTTGTTGACTGAATGCGCTTTTTTTTCTTCTTTTTATTCGTTCGGTTTCTGAAATGCATTTTTAGCATTATTTCTTCTATTGTTGTGTTTCTTTCATGGATTGTTATGGTGGATTTCAGTAAAGTATTTGACATGTTAGAGTTCATGTGATTGCAATTTGTGATTGTAATACACTGATATATTATTGTAAATTCAAGAATCTGCACTCAAAGCTAGACGTTGCACATGTTGTTAACTGATGTATGCATGTTTATAGAAATGTATCGGGAGTCTTACTATCAAGTAGAAAGTTTCATTGATTTAGTGGTTTACAAGGACAAGTACTTTTGGGGAAGGGAAACCATTACTTTGTAAATTTACTCATGTATATGCTAGAAATCAAGACTTGTCAATTTATCATTATCGTTAAAAATAACGAGAACTTCAGTGCATGCGTGCGTGGTTTCTTAGCTTTTGCGCAGCTTCTTATTTCTCTTCCAACTGTGTTCATTGAATTGTAAGAACAACTACATAAATTTGTTTTTATCTTTGTTGCCTTTTTAAGCAACTATCTGTAATATTCCAATAAATAAACGAGACAAGTAGACATTATAATATTTACCTTGTTTCACCCTTGATAGGGACTTGGGTATTATGGGGTGCCTAAGTCCCGCAAGGAGTAGTATGGAATGCTTGGGGTAGTATTTAAGTACTTGGTTCAACTCCCTTAACAGCTAGCTTTTAAGGGTGGGCTCCACAAGAGCTTGAGTGCTTATCAGCCCTCGCCCTCCACATATTCTACTTTAAATCATTTCACTATTGAATCTCAATCTTTTGGACTAAAATTTATATCCCAATTCTTTTCCTTGAACTTTTCCAAGGTGGATATTCTTTGATCATAGTTAAAACCTTTAGTAGCTTCAGAATTTTGGAGTCCCCAGCAAAACCTCAATATCTAGGTTCTCTTAGAGCATGTTTGTATACAAGTTTAGAAAAAAATTTATGAGCTTCTCTACTGAAAAATACTCTATTTTCAGTAGAGAAACTCTAAAAAATGCTTATAACTTGTATGTTGTATCCAAATAGGCTTTTAATTGTCTCAGTTATGTGGTTTAATCATATTATTAAATGGTTACACACATAACTATATACTATTTTTCCTTTCTATGAAACAAAAATCTATTTTTTTTCATTTGTTTCTTCTGTTTATATTTATATATATGATTTGGTTAATCATATTATGTAAAATGGTTTCACACATAACTATATGCTATTTTTCATTTGTATGAAACAAAAATCGATTTTTTTCATTTGTTTCTTCTGTTTATACTTATACATGATATATATCATGGGTTCTGTTACTGGGCTTGAGGTATTCTAGTTGATCATTTTCATTAAAGGGTATTATGTTTTCTTTGCAGAAAAGTGGAACAAATATCAGAAGAGGCTGAATCGCTGAGAGCAAGTTTGGATAAATATAACTTACGAAATCAGAAACGAATGAGGGAAGCTAATGAGAGAGCAGAACTGCTGGGACGAGCTGTATGCTGTTGCTACAATGCTTTAGTTTGATGATTTTATTTATTCTTTATTTGGTCTAATAGCAACTGCATTTGAAATTTGCTAGAATGGGGATTCTGCTCATGTTTTGAGAATTTTTGATGAGGAGGCACAAGCAATGCAATCAGTTCGCACTTCTTCCCGAGAACTGGAAAATGCAAATGCAATTGGGGAGGCTATCCTCTCTTCAATACATGGCCAAAGAGAACGGTTGAAGGTATTTTCATTTCTGCTTTCATTCTTCTACAAATAGCATACTTGATTGCTGGATGTGATGATGATATGACAAGATTTGTATGCTATAGTTTAGGTCTAGCCATAATAATATCTTTCTGGTTATGGGTTACAGATTAGATATTATTTCTGTTTTTAGGCCAAAAATGTAATTTCTTTACCCCGAAAATTTATATGGTAATTGCTTAAATTGCTGCAGTCCCGCAGATCATTAGCTATATTAAATTTATTTATGTAAAATTTTTGTTTCTATTTCTTGGTCAGTTTACGATGTTATCTGTTTCAGATGTTGACCCCTTACACATGTCCAGTAGGTCATTGATTACATTAGATATAATTATGAAAAATCTCTGCTTTCTGTCTCTATTTCTTGTCCATTTTATGCTATTTTATGATTCAGATGTTAAACATGTCTCCATTTCCATTAAATTTTAATAATTCTGTTTATTTTGCTAATCACATATAGACTGAATATACGTTCTGAAATCCTAATCAAATTCATTACACTTGAACAATCCATTTTGAACAATACTATGAAAGTGTGTTCTTGGAAATTAAGGACATGTTTGATTGCCTTCTCGCTTTTCTTTTTTCCTTATAAAAACTGTTGACTAATAATTTTCCACTACTCAGTCAATTTCTTGTCCGCTTCTTCTGTTTTCTTCAAATGATCTGTTCATTACGCTTGGGGATAAACACTTTCAAATGTGCTGGAAAGACAAACAAATTATAGAAAACAGTAAACAAACAAGGCCTAAGTCACTTCTTTTTTACTTTTATGTTTCATGCATCGAGCATTAGCATCATACTTATTTTGTTTTGATGCCTTTTAATTGTATACTGCCTACTATTCTTTTATTGAAAAGAAAGTGTAACATTATTTTGGTGTTCTTTTTTATTTTACTTATATTAACAATCAGATTGGTTTTTACCCTTTTTTTAAGTCATCTAGATGGTTAAATGGTTTTAAATTTTTAATCCCTATCTATTTTTACACTAGTCATAATTACCGAGTCATTAATTATCCCATCTTATTGTTGTTGATATACCATTTCATTTGGACTTGTATCTTGGTGCAGAGTGCACATCGAAAAGCATTGGACATACTCAATACAGTGGGGATATCGAACTCTGTTTTGAGGTTAATCGAGAGACGAAACCGAGTTGACCAATGGATCAAATATGCAGGAATG